CAGAGGAAATTAAAATTGAATGCTAAATTATCGAAAATGAGCTCAACTCGTCAATTTTCGTCTTAGTGAGACAATTAATAAGAACGTCCATTAAACATGGTTAATTAACCACTGAACAGAGAACATTCGTGGTCAAAAGTTTTACGAAACAAATACTGCTTGCATCACACTCGCGTCGCTTTGGATTGATTAACTTTGCATAATTAATGAATTTTCAATTCGAAGATTTCAACGGTGGCCATTTCTCATAGTTACGATTTAAAAAAAGGTATCATAGGTATCATCTTTCGTCCTATGTAAAAATTGAATTGTTTAGCCACGTTTATGATGCACGACAGCCTGTTGAATTTCCGTAGCGTTTTTTTTAGACACCCTGTATCCATATCATCTACTGTCGAAAATAAATGATTCTGTGAGCAAAATTAATATAAAACACTCAAATTTCGTTTTAGCTTAGCTAGTATATTTCAACCGATTATTAACTTTTTTATGTTACCTTGCATTGTCTTTATTTTAACTCTCATTTTACCAAGCTTGCCAATCTCTTTAATTTCCATCAATGGTTTAAGGGGATCTTCGACTTCCTTCGTAAATATCAACTCAATTTCGACAATTATACTGCCGCGCCTGCGAAAGTACACAACACAAAAGAAAGAAAAAAATAGAATTAGACATATGTTTGTTCGCTAACGTGGTTTAACTAAATGAATATATAATCATTACCATTTATGACACACTGTTAATTAGGGCACCTCATTTACTGTCTTTATTATTAGCATGACAAAATTACTGGATGCTGATTGGTTGAGAGGAGTACAATTATTTCATTAATTGTACTGCAGTACAATTAATGATTTTCCCAAAACAAACAAAATGGCGGAAACGTATTTTAAACACAAGCGTGAAATGAAATTGCCCTAGAGGAACTAGATGAAAACACGAACAAAAGCACCAAATTTTGCTTTAACACAAGAACTAAATGAAAATACGGACAAAAGCACCAAAATTTGGTTGAAAATCTGGCAGGACTGGGCTTTGGCGAGAGAATATCTGATGTTAACATTGAGAAGTATTCAAATTTGTCATGCTAATAATAAACAAGTAAACATGCGATGTTGGCAAAATTTCCAAACATCACTTGTACTATTATTATTAATCCCTAATTGTACTCGCCATCGCGTGATTACCTATACTTATTAAACGTGACCTAAAGTCGATCGTGTCTTCTGGTTTAGATATTCGAGACTCAGAGATGACATTATCAGCCAGCAGGGTGTGAATAATTTTTAAAAGATATAGCCTTCCGTCTTCACTTCAAAACATGACGATTTATACGCCTAGATTTTAGTCGACATTTCGATCAACGCCATTTACTTTGAATTACCTGAATCCCTTGACAATAACATAACTAAACTCAGCGTGGTCCTTGTAAACTTTTCTTATCTACGAATATGATAAATATTCTTAAGAAGATAAAACATTTTAGGCAAAAACCAAACATTTTACATTTTAAGTCTTCACCTTGTTTTTGCACCATACCTACCTCAACCGTCAATTGCGATGCGAGATTTTTGTACACTTTTGATGTTTTTGTTTCAAGTTGATCGTCCCATTTTTGATCTGTTAATGTCATTTCAGATACCACTGAACTTTTCTCTATATTAGCAAAAATTTTATTATTATTTAAAAACTCATTAATAATTCATGAGGAAAATAAAAAAAATGAATGTTTATAGTTAATCAATGTTTGCAAATCGCGGATAAAGATTTGTCCTGATTTACATGAACTTCAGCTTTGATTTTCTCGGCTTAGACCATATTTATTTTTAAAATTACCTCGCCAATGAACTCATAAGATGGGTCGTTTTTTAAGCACGTTAAAATAATCGCATCCGATCTTTATCTTATATACAACTGAAATCTCGCCTTCGGCTCGAGTTTGTATATCAGATAAAGATCGATTGCTTATGTTTTAACTAGTACTTAAAGTATTCAGCTTTTATATGAGAGGTGGCATGGTTTATATGACTAGCTAATGTCGAAGCGGAATGATAAAAAACGTATAGATAGTGTGGATTAGAAATAGCGAAGAACAGATAATTTAATTTGATTTCTTCCCAACCTTCATTTGCTTTTAGTTCACACTGTTTCCCATCTCCTTGAAACAATGTTGGACATTCTTCACAAGTAAATCCTTCAGAATTCTGAGCAGTGGAACAGTTGAGACCTGGATAACATGGTAGTTCTTCACAGGGATTTGGACGTATTTCACATCGTTGACCTGTGTAGGGATCTTCACATTCACAGAGATAATCTGATGGTTGAACTGGATATGTAATGGACTTGTTTTGATAACATTTACCATTGTGCACACATGGACATTCAAAGGCATTCACTTCAAGAATTAAAATGTTCTTTGCTCCCATCTCATCTTCAACTTGTACATAAACAGTTCCATTTTCTTTAACATTCGGTATTGTAAGCAATTGTTTCGAGATTTGTGCTGTGGTCAAAGTTCCATTTGATAGCAAGGTAAATGTCATGTCTTGATTTTCAGGATCTACTGCCATAATCTGAATTTTGAAGTCATTGTTCAAGATAGCGTAAACTGCACTTGGAATGGCAAACTGAGGGGGTCGATTTTCTAGAAAATTGAAATTACGCAGTGTTGGCTTTCTTTCACATTAGTGACATTACTATTGTTTGTAAACATCATGATGTTGACGGGAGCGTGTGCATGTATCCATACCAAATGATTTAAATAATAATCCTGTATAATGTGTCAATTATTAAATAAAACTTTTAATACAAAGTTGAAGGTAGGATAATGAAAGAACACAACAATAATTGTTATGTTCCTTCGGCAGAATACACAAGAGTTTCAAGATTGTTTTTCTTCTTATATATTTCTTCATTATATAATTTTAATTAATTTTTGGAACAAAGGTAAATTTTTCAAAATTTTATCGAAGGGTATGATACAAATATTTCTTTACTGCATGTGTGTCAATGAGGCTCTCTGTAAACTCTTCAAAGAAGTTCTCCAGAACAGTATTTAGTACCTGTACAATTCTGTATTCCATCTCCGAGGAATCCCTGGTTACATTGACAAGAAAAATATCCGATTGTATTTGTACATTTTGCATGTTGATGACATACTGATGGTGATTCGGAACATTCATCAACATCTAAAATTGTGTAGAAAGTATTAATTGACGGCAGTTGAGACAAAAAGGCACAGATGTGCATGTATTCCAGTGTTTAGTCGGCTTTTAATTTGTATGCAACATTCTTTTTCACTTTTGCACATATAATATCAGTCAATGGGCATTCTGTAGTTCATGTCGTCATGCAGAGGAAAATTTATACGAATACTGAATGGGAGGGATGAATAGGGGTATACAAATCCGCCGATCCGTCTGATTTTGAAGCAAAATCCGCCGATCCGACAATGGTCTTGGCTAAATTTGGATCCGCTAAAAGCTCTACTGTGACAGGATCTGAACTAAATTGCAAGCAAAATCCACAATCCGAGCCAAAATATTAGATAAATCCGCAATCCGCTGTATTAATAAGATCCGCAAATCCGTGTAAAATATTCGCCAGATCCGAAATCCGAATGGTTTTCTCGGCGGAATCCGACGATCTGAAAACCTATTCACCCCCCTGAATATAATAACGTACAGTTCATGGGGGCCCAGGCATTGCATGGTGCATAGAGCAATTCAGTTTCATTTCGTCAGCGGCGACAGTGGCGGCGACCCTGGTTGACCAAACAGCTTAACCGCCTTAACGGATGTTGGCATCATGTTTATTAAATTTTGCAATTTCTGTTAAAAACATTCATTGGTTCACGCTCAAATATAAATAGGTAAATAGGTGACGTTTTCATGTATACCTGTACAATTGACGATACCATCTCCAGTGAATCCGCTATCACATTGACAAGAAAATGATCCGTCAGTGTTTGAACATTTTGCCAGGGAATGACAGACAGAATAAGATTGTTGGCATTCATTAATGTCTTAAACATACAGAAGATGAAGTTAAATTATATATATGAAGTAAAGATCGTTCTCAAGCTTTGTATATGCTCGTGTAGTGTCAAAAATATCTGAACTTCCCATTCCCCAACGGTAACTGCGTGAATCGATATTTTAGTTATTCTACACTTTCTCGAAAAACAAAAAATAACCTAAGGCCACATAAAAAAATAGTTGGCCTTAGCTTTTACCAAAAAGTGGGCGGGCGCGCGCTTTTTTTATTTTTACTAATTTTTAACGTCTTGGTTTTTCTTGGTTTTAGATCCGAAACTGGATTTTCTTGACTACAGATATTTAATTTTTATATATTTCAAAATATGATTCATACCGTCATTTTCGCACGCAATCTCGCAATTTTTAACACAATTGACTACAGTCAACAGAAATACTACATATATTAGAGCCCGTTGATCATGAAAAGTTTTTTTTAAATAAAAAATAAAAAAAAAATCCAGAGCGGGGCCTTTTTTGTGGGCGGGCGAGGACGCTAACTAACTATTTTTTTTTTTATGTTGCCTAATTACAACAAATGCAAAAAAAGTAATATCTTAGAAATGTATTAATAAGTTATAAAAAAATAATATTTTGGACTTTCGACCCTTGACTTTCGACCTCGACATTCGACCCTCGACCTCGATTTTCGATCCTCAACCTCGTCTTTTGACCCTCGACCTATGAGCTATGATCCTCGGCTTTCGCAGATGTCATGACTCATGGTCATGGATTTTTATCAAACCGGGTTGGGGCGAAATTTGGCGAATGTTTTCTTGATTTAGTAAATTTTGGCCACAAACTTTAGTAAAAACCGCAATAACAACCGCTGGAAAAATCTGGTTACACTGCTGACCCGCGTTACTTCCCAAAGTGAGTACGGTAAGTGACACAAAAACACGTGCAGCATGGAAAATATATTTTACTTGGATGAAAATGTATGATTCCAAAAGATTCAGAAGATTTACAGACTGCAAAAGTAAGTTTAAAAATTTTATTGATGATGCAAGCAGTTAGGTAAACCTTTTGTGTGCTTATATGCATTAAAACAGGATGAGTCGATGCCAATTTGTAGCCTGCTTTGTTGCAAAATTATTTTGAATTATAAGACTATTGAATTCACATTGTTTGCCTTGTTGGTGTTTAAGTACTCGCTTTAGTCGCCAATTTAGGCAGTGCTTTACTAACAATTTACTCTGTAATTTGCTCATTATTTCGTGAAAGTTCCTGTATATGTTTGTTTTATAGTCAAAATATTCTGTTTAATGCAAAATATGCATGCAGATCGAGTCCGGATTATTCATCAGGGTTGGATCTGCAATGGGCCATTCCATTTAATATAGGCACCCCCCCCCCCCCTAATGCGGGGTCCCTTCATAATCTCCTTTTATAAAAAAATTGGAGCTGCACATATTAAATAGGGGGGGGGAGTGCACATATTAAATGGAATGGCCCAATGAGGTGCAGGGGGTTCAAGCACACCCTACCTAGTGGTTGTCTAGCACCACCCTAAAAATCTGCTTGACTATACTTTATCTGCCCATCGAATAGCGATTTGTGGAACTTACTACTGTTTGGGCGTGTCAATTTCTTGAAACAATTTAACTCAGAATGATTTAGTTATGTGTCATGGTTAAAATGTAAACATGTTGAGATTGTTTTATTTTATTTTCAAATGTACTGTACTTTAACAAGCAAATTTAGTCACACATACATGATCAGAAGCTGATACAATTTAAACTTCATAAACAAAAGATTCCGTCACTTGCAACTAAGGATGAACAGTTTCAGATAAAACATTGTCTATTGTCATGACAAAGTTCATTGTTTTTACCGAGAGAGTTCAATGTTTGTGATGACATTTGATGCATGGTTTCAATTTGCTCAGCCAATCAACTTGGAATAAGTTGAACGTGATTGGCTGATCAGATTAAAACCTGTCAAGTGCAATGGAAAATGTAACAGAATGATGCTGGCATAGTAACATACTAGCATTGCAGACTGACACTGCAGAGGAGTTTAGGTAGTAAAGCTCCCTCATGCACCATCCCATGAAAACCTTCAACTCTCTTTGCAGATGAGGCTAGATCCGTCTCTGTTATTCATATAAACATAAACCATGTTTAAGTGTTATAAACCACAGTGGTGAAATTATGTGCTTACACCTTTGGGAATTTCCTTTAGTAAATGCTTTTCCCATATTTATCCCGATTATTTTGGCAGACATTTCCCCCTGCCATTTCCACAGACCTGTACCTACAGTACATAGAACCACTGTTTGACCCCAGCGTTGTCCCAGACTGAGCGGGATGGCTCTCTCTCCTCCGCAGAGGCTTCTGTTGGCTATGATTATGCTTAGTAGTATTGAGATACATTTCACTACACTTTACATGGCGGACCTTGGAACACGAGCAGAGCCGCTTGGCGAAGGAGCACTGTGCAGGCGGGAAAATTGGCGAAGGCGAGGAAAGGCACCAAAGCCTCTGCGGAGGAGAAAGGCAGGATGGTATGTTGTTTGGTGTTGGAAACTATACCAGTGGCGGCAAAAATTTAGTTTTAATGTTGCAAATCATCTGTTATTCTGTATTTAGAAAAATTCATTCATTAATGTTTTATAAAATCTGAAAGCAAATTAGCAATGATTGATATGCAAAAGTTTTCAAGTGAATATGCGGAATAACCTGTTCTTGGATGTGCAGGTTGTAAGGAGAGGTAGCAGACATTCCAACTATTGGAGGTAAAATTTAGGGAGACTGTTCAATGAATTGAAATCTAGTTCTTCTGGGAAAAAATAATAAAAATTCAGTCTTCTGAAATGGTGTTTCCTGCATTTTGGGAGTATGTTGTTATAAGTGATCCTATAAATTGTACTGTAACTTCATAAAAAGGTCAAGACAGACTATTATAATGGTGCTAAAAACAGTATATTTATGATTTTTCCTGAATATTCTGAAAATTCGGGAGAATTTCATAAAAATTCGGAGACCAGTAGATTGCGTGAATTTTCGGGAGACTCTCGGTAAAGTCGGGAGAGTTGGAATGTCTGGGTGGGCATGTGTTTTACACTAATATTGACACTAGCATACACCCTTAGAAGTTGGTGCAGTTCTTTGGTAGACAAAAATTATGGTGGATCATGTTCAGATTTATTTTGCAGATCAATTAATTGTAGGCTCTGATTTTAAAACATGGATTTAAAACTGATATGAATTTATCAGCTTAATTGATAAGCGGCTACTGTAGTTTGGGTTTTGTACATTAATTTAATTGGTTGGTACTAAAATATGAAAATGAATATAACAAATAAGTAAACAAGGCTGGCATGTATGTTGTAAACTAGTTGCAATTAATGGAAACTAGTTGCAATTAATACCCATAATTATTACAGAAGAGTTATTTCAGCTAGTGTTTAACTAAATAAGCATTATAATTTTTTGCACAAGCCTTGATAAAATATTTTTCTTCCTGGCAGCAGGCTTCCCAGACCAAACATTTCCTGCCAATTTTTTTTATAAATATGAATTTTGGTTGTAATTCAATAACAGCATCGTATATACTACATTACTAAGTTATGTACTACCTCAATATTAAGAAAAATATAGGTTTACTAGAATTAGGAACATGCAGGAATTCTATGAAACATGTATTCATGCACTGTTCAATAATAGTAGTATGCCCTTGTTTTCCACATGTATCATAATCATGAATCATGATAAACAGACGGTCATAGCACTGCCACATCATTTTATGTTATGATTGTTGTATTTATGCTCTAATTGTGATGTTTGTTACTTTAATGCTGATTTTTGAAATTTCTCAAGCTTCATTCTTGATATCTTCCTTTTCCTTAAAAATTTCCTGTGAGATTAAAAAAATTTCCTGGCAGCATGCTGGCATGCGTGCCTGTCCAGGTTTCTAGTAGACCTCTAGGCCTTACATTAATTATTTTACATAATTACTATTCTTGTAAATACTACTGGGCGAAGTCATTTAAATAAAAAAAACCCTCATTTTAATGCTAAACATATCAGTTGGCGAACAATAGTAGCCTGTAAATATTAGCAATGGTTGTTCCTGATTGTGCTTTAGAGTTGCAGCAAGCAGCATCGTATATATACTGTATGTCGGTATACTCACCTGTGCAATTACTGTAACCGTCACCGGAGTACCCCACAGCACATTGACACACATAAGATCCAACAGTGTTTGAGCATTGTGCATTTTGAATGCAGCTGATGTTAGGAGAAGAAGTACACTCATCAGTATCTGCACAGAACAACATGTAAAAAATAATGAATATACACACTTAGAGATTTCAAACATTCTACCAACACTTTGTCATAGTAAAAACCTATAATTTTGTAATACCTGAACAGTTAAGTTTACCATCACCAGTATAACCTTTCAAACATTGGCAGGAATAACTTCCTTCAGTATTAGTACAATTGGCATTTTGATGGCAAATATCAGGAGTTTGTATGCATTCATCCACATCTATAACGATATGTTTTTAATTTCAATAGCATTTTAAATAACAAAAGAACCAGACATGTTGTCTTCTTTTTTGTGGAGTTTTTTGGTTTCTCTTTTAAAATACAGTAGCTTAGGATATATAAGTTCTTTGTGGAACTTTTAGTTTGAAGGATTTATTGGTAACTTTCACTATTTGATTAAAAGTTGAAGTATACCTGTGCAATTGTTCTTGCCATCTCCTGTGTAGCCATCTGTACACTGACACACATAAGATCCATTATTGTACATACATTTTGCGTTACTATGACATACTTGAGGTTTTTTCACACATTCGTCGACTTCTAAAAAGTTTAAATATACAGTATTTAAATTAATTTGTTTCGTTTTGCATTTCCGAAGCCTCAGAAGAGCATTCCTGTGTGTTCCTGCGAGGAATTTGAATCAAAGTTGGGATTTCTTGCATTTAAAAATTAATATTTGAAACAACGCTTGCTCTGTATTCGATCATAAATGTGAATGAGTCGGTTTTGCTCCCATTGATATATACACACAGAATCAATGTAACAAAAAACTGTTGTAATTTCTTGTGCAAGAGAGGAATAAAGTATGAAAAGAAATGGAGTTCTCATGTGCGGGCTCTCCCCTCGCTTCCGACGGCCCTGCAGTACTTACTTCCATCCATTCTAGTACAGTTTACTCCATCACCGGAATATCCACCCGGACATGGTCCACAACTGAATGAAGCGATCAAATCTGTACAAGGGACTCCAAGGAAACACGGATAAGGCGCACATTCATTGATCTTAAATAGAATGGAAATGTTTTGAGAATTAATCTAGCTTAGTAGCTTGCCTGCTTTTTAAATGCAAACACGAAAGCATCCGGATGAAGGAAAATTTGTGAAATATTGTTTTATTTATTCAACATTAAGATTGTTTATCAAAAATACATCTTAACATGGTACCAGTTGAGAGGTTTTATAAAATTAGTTCAAATGATTACCTCAGTTTGACAAAGATCACCAGTATATCCAGCAAAACATGAACAAGAGAACCCAGGTTGTTCATTATTACAACTCCCATTAAAACAAGGTTTAAACAGTGCACACTCATTTACATCGAGCTCACACAAGGTACCCGTATATCCTGCAGGACATGAACACGTGAAGTTTCCTGCTCCATCAAGATAGCGATAATCAGGAAGGCATTCTCCGGAATTTTGACATGGACATTCTTTTATAACAACCAAAGCATGTAGAACAGAGTACGCTCCACATTCGTCTGTCACATTAAAAATAACTATTGTTGAATCATTGGTGTTTTTAGTGTAATTGAAAAATCCTGTTTCTGTCAACGAAGCACCAAGTGTACTATTTTTGGCAAAGGTATAGCGTATTGTTCTATTCTCTGGGTCTACCGCGCTCAGTTGAACGCGAAGTTCTTTACCAAGGAAGGCGTGCAAAACAGTTGAAGTAGTAAACTTTGGACTCTGATTATCTGAAAAAGTATTATTGTATAAGCACTTGGTTATTTGGTTTTATTTGAATAATCAGTCTAAAGTGTGGATTAAAGAGTCTAAAGCGTGTCGCCATTATGAGCGTATCATATATATTACCTCTTCGCTTTTCCCAGGATTTTGTTGAAATCTGTGGCAGGCATTGTTGACACCAATCGTTGGGATGGCTTTGATTTTGGGCAAAGCAGTGAGCAGAAATGAAACAGGCATCGGTCTATTTTAATTTGCAAAACAGAAATTTGGTAAAATAGGATTAATTGAAGTAATTGCAATATTCAGTACTTTGAATTTAACCTTAAGGTTTAGTTAAATATTCTGTGAAGGGATATTTAGAAGGAAACGGTCCCCTGATCATTTGCATAACACTCTGCCAGGTTTACCTTAAGTTGACATCCCTTAATGGTATTATTACATTCTTGACACACAGAGTCATACGTGATAAACACCGCGGACACTTTGGAGGCGTTTATACGATTATTGGATACTGCAATCTTTAGTCCAGCAGCTGTTATCCCTTTGTTGCCATAGTCACCAATGTTAACAGGTGATTCAGGGAGTGAACATTTCACTTCATTGATGTCCATCATCAACCCAGGATACAACGAGATGGAATTGTCGGGGGTCCACACTGATTCAATAACCTTTAAGAAATTACAGTTACGCAGCATCAGTATCTCCCCAGCACCACAGGCTTGCATTTTCAGCGGATTTTGCGATGAAAAATTGAACATTTTGCACAGAACTGGCCATTTTGTGGAAAATAAGACTGCTGACAATACGAGCCCCGTATGAGTGGCAGAAATTTCGCTAAATTTGATGAACGTGTATAAATCTGGCATTAAAAATGAGCCTTCCTGCTTTCAGTTTCGCTACTCTAACACTAAATTTGACGTTTCAGTGTACTGCCTCGTCCTTAACTCTTAAGCGCAAGAGTGGAGGTTGTAGTTTTGCGAGTTGTCTACATGAGTCACGACTTGTATTTATGATTTTATCATTTATGATTTTATACAAGGCTTATAAATTATTAACGAGTATTTTAACAGTATTTAATTCAATTTTGACTATTTTAATCTGTCAAAAGTCATTGGGTTAAAAAAATAAGATAGTGATTTCATCCAGCGTAAAAACCAGAAACTTCCACATTCCAAAGCTATAGTGTTGTAGTACCACGAATATAGTGTTTGCGGGACTTAATCATAAAAGAAGTTGAATATCCTACCTTAAATTCTTGGACATGGCAGGTAAGATTTTCAGAATCCAGCAATGGGAAAGCATAAATACCAACATTGCGACATGGCCTTCTTCTTACATCACATAATCCGGATTTACGTATGCCGTATAAGATAGGACTATCTTTTAACGATATTGAGCAGTCGGCGCTTGTGTAGTCTTCAAAACAAGTGCAAGTGGAGTTTGAACAATTCCCGCGGTCTGAACAATCATTTGGACATAATGAATCAAGAACGGTTGTTTCAAGACTTAACTTGCCATCAGTACTGTTCTTGTAGTAGGTTATGTTCTTGTACACATTCTTCTTACAAATTTCGTTCATGGCTCCAAAATTGGCTACAGCCCACGATGGATCATCAGTTAACTGTGTATATATAAAGAGAGTTTTTTCTAACGATTTTTAAACTGACAACTATTTTTAAAATCCGATAAACGATTTAGTATTATAGGTTCTTTTTCAAATAGTCCTGTGGAGTTTAATAAAGTCGCCCAGAATATCGATTGCTACATTGACTTTCACTAATTGAAAATGATTATCGAACAAAAAGTACAAATAAATAGTACAATACAATGATGCAAAACAATTCAAATATGTTTCCTCCCGACTCGCTTAGAAAATAGATGACAAAATATCTAATACTAAATAAAAAATGTAGAAATGAAAGAAAATTAAAATTTTGTGGTCCGCAGGAAAATATCCCTTTAATAATTTTAATTGACCATTTGCGTAATAGACTAAATTTTTATCTAGACAAAAATTTCATCACAACTTGAAAGAGCATCACAACATTAGTAATATTCCAAAGTTTCGTTGCGAAATGTTGTAAAATACGGATAATATAGCCTTGCGAAGTTTGCAATTTTCAGTCATTTTAGTTTACAAACGGGAAATTGACAGCCCCAAAGGGTATTGGGCTGTCAATTTCCCGTTTGTAATCTAAAATGACTGAAAATTGCAAGCTTCGCCAGGCTATATTATCCGCATTTTACAACATTTCGCAACGAAACTTTGGAATATTACTAATTTTGTGATGCTCTTTCAAGCTGTTATGAAATTTTTGTCTAGACTTTTTTAGATCAAAATTTAGTCTATTACGCAAATGGTCAATTCGCAAAGCCAATTTGTCTAAACATCGTATCCAAAAACGTAGAAATTGCAATACTAGAACACGAAATTATATGTAGTGGTAAAAGGTTTACAGAATGAATTTAGCAAGCAATTTAACATTACATACTTCCGTTACGTGACATATGTACTTACAGAATGCTATATTTATTCCGATTATATCCCTCTTTATATTACGAGGGAAGAAATAAAAATATGGAATTCGCGCCCTTGTACAACGAACTGGGAATTCTTTGGATAAATTATCTACGTTATTTTCAATACAAGCCTTCAAACGTTTCTAAACGTTGTTTACGTACTTTTCTTCGACTGACTTTCCTAATTATGTTTCTTTATTTTATTTTTCTATTATATACCTTGATATCAGAGATGCATTGATTAACAAGAGCATCCAAATCCACACCAGCAACAGCACCACAACTTTCACCGCCCTTCGAATACCTTATTCTTCTATTACATATCTCCGTGACGTTTTCTTCTGTCAGTCCGCTGGGCGTTGGCCATGAAGGAGCGGTATAATTACGTATGGGTGGGTTGTATGACGGGATAACGTCCTGATCATCTATATCATCATCTCGGGAATCTAATGCTCTTTTCCGACGCTTATTTATATCCCTAACAATTACCCGATTTCCACGACACAAATCTATTTGTAAAAATATCATACATATGTTATTTCTTCAGAAGGCATCAGAGCTAGGGCACCAAATTTAATTTATTATCTCGAATGTTGAAAACAAATTTTCACTTTCAAGTTGGAGGTTAAAAATGAAATAAAGTTGTTGATCCCAATTGTTATTTCTTCATTCCCCTTGAAACTTGGCATGCTCAGTATTATATACCATATACTTTCATATGTCTTCTCTCCAAATATTTGCTTTTATACGTTTAAGCATAAAATTAATAAAAATTTGGTCTGGTCACATATTAAAGTAGAGATTTTGATATTCTAACTTAAAATCGTATCTCTATGTAACCATTTTTGTCTGTGTTTCGAGGTTATTTCCTCCTTAGAAAAATTACTGTTATTACCTCCGCCAGGAGGTTATGTAATCATCTGGGTTTGTATGTGTGTGTGTGTGTGTGTGTGTGTGTGTGTGTGTGTGTGTGTGTGTGTGTGT